TGAATTTTTTCATAATAATATGAGTAGACCGTATGATTTCATTGAATTTCACATAAAAAGGAAATATAATCCAAGCAGGAGTGGACTGCAATGTTGATCTCACCTGAACTGGTCTCATCAGCACCTCCAGCGGGACTCGAACAATGATAGTGCAACATATAATCTGTACCCGTTGGCCACTACGCCACATCGCCACGAGTACACTTGGTTGGCAGGCTAGACGTGAATTTTAACGACTTTTCCCATATCGCATTCTGTGGGAAAGCAGTGCTATGTAAAGTTAAATGGAAACGTACGGCCTAACTATATCATTGTGGAAAAATCCAACCAGCAGTCCTTCATCAACTTAACGAACTATCGTGAGTACATCTCAAATGTATGATCTACTTATTATTTTAATATAAGTAATGTAGTTGGTTGCTATAGCATAGATAACTTTGCTTCATCGACAATTTCACCTCAGAACGTGATGTGGAAAAATGCTTGGCCCTCCTTAAAGTTCACATCTTTCCTTTTACCAAAGAGGACTCGTGGATGTGTGGTATAGGAGTCAATGTGTTAAGATGATACGCTGCACTGTATTGGTTCGAGTCCCGATGGGGGCGTTTAAGGAGGTCGAGACTGCATTCCAATCCTGTTTGAAAAAGGACAAATTTTGGGAAAGCCTGACTATGTTAAATATAATTTAAACGTAAGGTATACTCATATTATTGCAAGAAAATTCATCAACAAATGCCTGATCACCTTAAGCGAAATAGGAGGATTACACTTCAAATGTATAATCTACTGGTAGTCACGAAAGCCTACTTATAAGCAAACTATAAGGACAACCAACTTTTTTTTACCTTTTTTTCATATATGCTCTTATAACTTTTGTTTGTCAATAAACGTCAAAATAACCATGAAAGTAAAGTAAGGTCATTGAATCATAATAAGGATTTTCCAGAAGCCACAACAAAATGATTAGAACAAAAGTGAGGAATACAAGCAATTAAAAACAACTTTTAGATATCTATTGACAAAGCAAGCCCACAACCCCAAAAGCTTAATTGCTTCAAATGCTAAGGACGAAATTACAGCAAATGACTGTCGAAACTTTTAAATAGCAAACTGATCGTCTACCCCATTTTATAGAACCTAATTAGATAAAACTACCCAAACTGATATATCAACAAGTTTTTGACCGCCGATTAGTTAAATACAAGATTAAAATAGAACACATTATTCCTCCCTTAAAAGTTGTACCGCAGTCTAACCAGTCTCGTCCAGCGTTTATACAGCCTTCATGCTTTCCAACCAATTCTCCGAATGGCACAATACGAACTTCTTGAGTCCGCTTGGACCGCCAACATTGTACACTTATTATCCTATCTTATAGGCTGAGAGCAAATAATTTCATATTCCTCCTCGGCCTACTTGCGCCATTTGAGTAGTCTCGAGACCAAATAATAGAAATTTCTACAAGATAATCATATGTCCATAAATGGAGGAGATTGCCGATGGCCAAACACGGAGAGCCTCCGAGCCGACCGGAATTGTTAGTCAAGGCATAGCAACTAAGTTGTCTATGAACCAGATACATATTGTCAAGCCTTCGAGTCGGTCTCATAATTCGGGTTCCCCCTTTCGACGGAATGGCTAATTATGTCGCGATGATAGAAACTAGCAACTTGAACTGAATCCTCCCGACATGAACATGACTCTTTACCACGTTTGTATGTTTTTATACACTTACACACAAAGTGACCTTGAGGCCATATTGCCCTCATGCTCGAGGGTGTGAAACAGTCTCATTATGGCTTCACGCTATTTCTGTGCGTTATACCGTTTATTTTTACGTATTTCTTCCTGTGTGTGTGTGTTTGGATGTATGTGGGCTTCTCTAAAAGACCTTGATTTAGCGGACTCCACTCATCTCTTGGGCTGATCTGCTAACTGTTCTACACGAGGTTCGGATCATCCGTCGAGCCAAAATTGTCCGTTCCCATCGCGACAACATCAAAACGGCTTCGTCGCCGGTCTGAGGGAGCATCGCCTCAGCACCAGTTGCCTTCCCCCCCCTCCCACAAGCCTCTATGCCCCACACACACCCCACCGTGAAACCCATCTCCAAACCAACTCACAGACCCCCAGTCCAAGGTTCCATCAGACAGACCAAACGACCGCGAGCCAAAAACACATTCTACACGCCTTCACTCGGCCCCGGTTCAGCATGTTGCCTTGACATTCCAGTCAGACAGAACAGACAAGCATGAAAGACTGGGTCTTTTGGCACACCGCTTCACACGAAAGCACACAACTATTCACACACTCTCACACACACACACACACACACA